TTGACCTCCTTTCCCTTCTTTGAATATGCCAAACTCATCCCTGCCTCAGAGATTTGGCACTGTCTCAGGCTGCAACACTATTTCCCCCAGACCTCCTTGTGGCTGATGTCTCCTAAGATGGTCTTCACTGACTGTGTTGCCCCCATCATTCTCTAGCACTGATTTTGTTTTCATAGCATTTCTCCCTCTCTGTCACTATTTTGCTTTTTATTTACTTTGTACTGTGTTTTGTTGATATGGCCCCAGTGCTGGCACATAGGGTGTATTCTGAATATATATTTGTGGACTACGTGGATATACTCTGAGGCCAAAGAGGTGCCTCTTTATTCATTTAGTAGTTATTTACCAAGCTCCTGCTATGGGTCAGGTATCATACTAGATACTGGGGATACAAAGTCATAGACAACATGGTCTCTGCCCTGTTTAGTCTTTGGAAGTCAGATTCTGAATATCTTTGAAAAAGAATTTCATTGGGGCACCTGGGTGGCTCAGTCAGTTAAGCGTCAGATCAGGTCATGATCGCGCGGTTTGTAGGTTCGAGCCCCGCATCCGGCTCTCTTCTGTCGGTGCGAAGCCTGCTTCAGATCCTCTGTCCCCTCTCTCTCTGCCGCTCCCTCTCTCTTTCTCCCTCGAAAATAAATAAACATTAACAAATTATTTTAAAAAAAGAAATAAAGAAACTTAAAACAGTAAAAGAATTTCATCTCCTTTAATTGAAAAAAAAAAAAGAAAGAAAGAAAGAAAGAAATCCAGCATCTCCAGGTCTGGAGAGGATGGCTGGACTCTTACTCCTGGGTACCATCTCCCCCTTGTGGGCTTTGCAATCCTTTTTTTTTTTTTTTTCTTTTTTTTAACGTTTATTTATTTTTTGAGACAGAGAGAGACAGAGCATGAACGGGGGAGGGTCAAAGAGAGGGAGACACAGAATCCGAAACAGGCTCCAGGCTCTGAGCTGTCAGCACAAAGCCCGATGCGGGGCTCGAAGTCACTGACCGCGAGATCATGACCTGAGCCGAAGTCGGCCGCTTAACCGACTGAGCCACCCAGGCACCCCCTTTTTTTTTTTAAGTTTATTTATTTTGGGAGAGAGAGAGAGAGAGAGAGAGAGAATCCCAAGCAGACTCTGTGCTGTCAGCACAGAGCCCAACATAGGGCTCAATCTCAGGAACTGTGATATCATGACTTGAGCCAAAATCAAGAGTTGGACACTAAACCAATTGAGCCACCCAGGTGCCCTGAGCTTTGCATTCTGAGTAGCCTCTCATTTTCCCTTTAAAATAAAAGTTCTGGGACAGAACATCCAAGTCTTGATACCAGCTTAGGTCTTGATCTCAGGGTTGTTAGTTCAAGCCTCAAATTTGGCTCCACACCCAGTGTGGGGCCTACTTAAAAATTAATTAATTAATTAACTCTGGCCCAGATATGTTGACAGATCCACTTTCCTTGGTTTCTCTGAACCCAGATGAGCCTGGCAAGGTCTTTCACAAAAATTTACCAATCACCATAGGAGAAAAATGTGGAAATAAACAGATTCTAAGGGGCAGAAATACAGCCAGACAATAGCCTTTCTGCCCAAAAGGGCTGGCATAGATAAACTTTAGATCTTGTAGAGTAGGGAAAGTCACCTTAAAAGTTTCCTACCAAGAATCTCCCTCCAAGGCATTTTAGCCATGTTTTGCTCCAGAGTGAAAAATATAAAACATGGGCTTGCTGTCCCCTCATGGTTTTCTGAACTCTGCCCTGCCTCAGATTATTGGTGTCATTATAGAACTCATGCCTTGGGTGAAATTTTACTTCTCCCCAAAGGTAAGGCTTAGTTCTCTGGGCCCAGTGATTAAAAACAAGCTAATATGGGGGTGCCTGGGTGGTTCAGTCAGTTGAGCATCCGACTGTTGGTTTTGGCTAGGGTCATGATCGTGGTTTCTTTCTCTCTCTCTCTCTCCCCCTTCCCCCCCTCCACCACTCACGTTCTCTCCCTCTCCCTCCCTCCCTCTCTCTCCCTCCCTCTCCCTCCCTCCCTCCCTCTCCCTCCCACCCTTTCCTTTCCCTCTCTCCCTCTTCTCTCTCTCTCTAACTCTCTCTCAAAATAAACTTAAAAAAAAAGAACAGGTTAATATCATAGGTACCTACAGTGTAGAACTTGTGTAATATGTTAGCTGATTTTAGGTGTTTCAAAGTCAGATCAAGAACAGTGAGAAAAAATTTAACACATATCAAGTTATAGCATAAGAAATACCCTGGAGGGGCTCCTGGCTGGCTCATTCGGTTAAGTGTCCAACTTCACCTCAGGTCATGATCTCACAGCTTGTGAGTTCGAGCCATGCATCAGGCTCTGTGCTGACAGTTCAGAGCCTGGAGCCTGCTTCGGATTCTGTCTCTTCCTCTCTCTCTCTCTCAAAAATAAATAAACATTAAAAAATTTTAAAAAAAAAGAAATATCCTGGAGCATCTAGCTGACTTAGTTGGTGGAGCATGCAACTCTTGATCTTGGGCTTCAAGCCCATGTTGGGCATAAAGATTACTTAAAATAAAATCTTTAAAAAAAAAAAAACCTTCACAGGTACAACATAGAAAATAATTAATTTGCTTAGAACCACAGGACCCGAAAAAGAATTTGACATATAACACTGACAGCATGCACTAAGCCAGACATTGCACTGCTTTGTATGGAAAAACCACAAGGAGAATACATTCAATGAGATACAAGTTACTAGTACAGTAGTCTCCTTTATTCATGGGGGATATATTCCAAGACCCCTACTGAATTCCTAAAACCACAGATTGTACCAAACCCTATATACACTGTGTTTTTTCCTATATACATACATACCTATGATAAAGTTTAATTTAGAAATTAGGCACAGTAATAAGAGATTGACAACAATAACTTAGTAAAATAAAACAATTATAACGATATACTGTGGGGCGCCTGGGTGGCTCAGTTGGTTGAGCGACCGACTTCGGTTCAGGTCATGATCTCACAGTTTGTGAGTTCGAGCCCCGTGTCGGGCTCTGTGCTTACCGCTCGGAGCTTGGAGCCTGCTTCAGATTCTGTGTCTCCCCCTCTCTCTGCCCTTCCCCTGCTCATGCTCTGTGTGTGTCTCTCTCTCAATAATAAATAAACGTTAAAAAAAATTAAAAATAAAAATATATATACTGTAATAAAAGTCATGTGAATGTGGTATCTCTGTTTCTCTCTCAAAATATCTTACTGTGCTGTACTTACCCTGTGGTAACGTGAAATGATAAAATACCTATATGGTGAGATAAAGTGAGGCGAATGACGTAGGCATTGTGACACAGCGTTAGGCTACTATATTGATGTGTAAGAAAGAAGATCATCTGCTTCCAGACTGCGGTTAACTGTGGGTAACTGAAATCACAGGAAGTGAAACTGCAGATGAGGTAGGACTTCTGTATCCCCATTTTAAACAAAGGAAAACCACAGGAGGAGATTAAGCAATTTCTATAAAATCACACAGTAACAGTAACAGCTGCAGGATTTGAACCCAAGTCAACATGCCTGGGGAACCCAAGATCCTAACCGTGGTTTGTACCATACACATTTAACTGGTATTAGATTATAGTTTATGTTTACTATATAATAACAGGATTAATTTACCTTTTTTCCTGAAGGTAAAAGATTATCCAGCAGCATCTTCTAATTGATACTTATCCTCCAAAACTTCTTTTCAAATCTTCTGATTTATTCAAAAGAAACCAATTTTTAATGTTTCCCTAATAAACAAACACATTATTTCCATACAAAAAGAATGTTCTAGTCTTTTAATAACTAAACCCCAATGCAATTTTCTAACCAATTCTGTGTGTACAGTTATACCAATGTAAATTCTTAAAATCAGAAAATGTGGGGCACCTAGCTGGCTCAGTAGGCATCAAGTATGTAACACTTGATGTTGGGGTTGTGAGTTTGAGCCCCACATGGGGTGTAGAGATTACATAAAATATTTTAAAAATAAGATACAATAAAATAGTAAAATCAGCAAATGCTGTTGATCTTCTAGTGGAATAAATTTGGGGGTGGCTTCATTTTTAATTCCACAGAAAATGTTCACATATAATAAAAAGATAAAGAATTTATCATTACAATTTTTTTACAAAGAATGAAAAAATGATTCCCTTTTCAAGTCTTTCAATCTTTCTGATTCTATCTGGGAAGGAGTCTCAGGTGCTGCCATGTCTCAACACCTCTCTTCATAGTTGCTGCTCTCTTATTCTTTTAAGGGAGAGCTCCAAGCCTGTCACCAGTGTCTGGCTAGAATTATTTCATTTTTATTGGTATCTAGTTTAAGTTTATGATCTAAAGATTCATTTTTTTAAAAAAGAAAGAAAAAAAAAAAAAAACAGGAGGGGAGAGGCACAGAGAGAAGGAGAAAGAGAATTCCAAGCAGGCTCCACACTGAGCCCTAACACAGGGCTTAATCCCACAACCCTGGAATCATGACCCGAACCATAATCAAGAGTCATACGCTTAACCAATTGAGCCACCCAGGCGCCCTTAAAGATTCCTTTTTAAAAGAATTTATAGCATGGTGATTATAGTTAATGCTGTATTGTATATTTGAAAGTTGCTAAGAGAGTAAATCTGAAAAGTTCTCATCACGAGAAAAAGATTTATAACTATGTATGGTGACAGATGTTAACTAGATCTATCATGGTGACCATTTTGTAATATATACAAATATCAAATCATTATATTGTATACCTGAAACTAATACAGTGTTATATGTCAATTATATTTCAAAAAAAATTACTTAGTAAAGAAAATTGCCTTACACGAAGTTGTAAAGTAAGTAATTAGGTAAGTGATGTGAAAACATAGCATGCGTCATGAAAACATAGGTGAGGAGTGACAAAGCTTTGCCGAGATATGATGGTATGGCATTCCGTTACTCAGTGCCTATGTTTGAGAGGGTTCAAAGATGGCACTGTTGAAGCAGGTTTTTAACTCAAAGATTTTTTTATTTTCCTCTCTGTAGTGGAGCACATGATCCAGAAGAACCAGTGTCTCTTTACCAATACTCAGTGTAAGGTTTGCTGCGCCTTGCTAATTTCTGAGTCCCAGAAGCTGGCACACTACCAGGTATGCCACTGTACCTTTAAATACTTTACTCCCCCCGCCACACACACACACCAAAAAAAAAAGAAAAACTTTACTTTCCACACTCCGTGCCAAGCCCTCACTTCCTTCTTAGCCACCCAGACATCACCTCCATGCATGTTGACTGTGACTTGAAGATTGACTTAATTTTTTGCATCTCATTTCTCCCGTCCAAATCAAGATCATTATACTTACGTCTTCCTTCTCAGCTTAATGTAGTAGAAAGTATGCACTTTGGCTTTAAATAGACCGAGTTAGAATCACAGCTCTGCTGCTCATCTTGGGCAAGAAACCTCACCATCTTCAGCCTTAGTTTCCTTATCAGTACGACAGAGATGATGATAATTTTCTCATAGATTGCTGTGCAGATTAGATTTGATAGCATTTAAAGTGCTTTAAACAGAGTAGGAACTCAATAAACTAGGTTTCTTCTCCCACCCTCTCCTCAAAATTTTTGTGAGGATGAATCAAATGAAAATCTAGTGTTTTTGAGTGCCTTGTTAGATATGAAATGGCATTTGGCTATCTTTGATCTTTTTCCTGGGTTCTTGCAGAGCAAAAAACATGCCAACAAAGTGAAGAGATACCTAGCAATCCATGGAATGGAGACATTAAAGGGGGAAACGAAGAAGCTAGACTCAGATCAGGTAATCCAGCTGCCATGTTGAGACCACTCGCTTCCTGATGAAGCCAGCAGGCAGGTTGGTGTGGTGGAAAGAATGTGGGCTTTGAGTCAGACTGAATTGGCTTCAAATCCTAGCCATGTTGTGTGACTTGGACAAGTGTTGTTACTTCTCTGAGCCTTGATTTCTTCCTCCATAAAAATGAGGATGTTAATATCAACATTTTAGGATTTTTCCAACCTAAAATGAGGGAAAAATTATCAAAAGCACCAAACACACAGCGGCTCAGTATATGGAGCCATTGTTATGCATTACCACCCAGTGGTTTATTGGAGCAGGACCAAAAGCTTCTCATTTACTACTCAAGGAGAAAAAGTGGAAGGAAGCCAAGCTGCTTGCTTTCTTGAAATGGGAGGGAAAGAGCTGAGTTGAGCACTTGAATGTTTTGAATAAACAGGTGGAAGAAACAACTTTCCAAATGCCTGTTCTGATTGAGTTGTAAATGCATTGCTTTTTGGCTTAGAAATACTGTGAGAATTATGCTGAAACAATCCTAATCCCTCAAGGGTACCATTAATTTTGTTTTATGGGAGGTTGTTCAAATGTCATGGGATGAGAAGTAGCAGACTAGGGCCCTATACTAGCTCTGCAACTTATTGGTTTGATGACTTTGGGCAAATCACTTAATCTCTCTGTACTTTATTCATAAAATGGAGATAATAATTCCTACCTTTTAAGGGTATTGTAAGGTAAAATTACAATTCTTGATGGATGCTCAATGAATGAAAATTTACAGATAGCCTCCTATTACAGTGTTCACAGGCGTGGAAGGGCCTTGCTCATCCCTTCTCCAAATTCACTGGACCCATCCCCTAGTTGCCCTTCTGCTTATGATTTAGAATTCAGAGAGACAAGATCAACTCTGGGACCCTAGACAAGTCACTTCACCTCTTTGTATCTTGATTACTTCAACTCTCAGGGTGGCCCAGTAGTTCAAATGAAGTGACTGACTTTCTTCTTCCTCTGCAACAAAGAATTATTTACTCCAAAATGTCAATAGTGCCAGGATTAAAAAATCCTCTTAGAATGAATACTTTATTCAGAGATCAGACCTCAGAGAGAGGCTGGGAGCTCTTAACATAGGCTTGAAATACATTGTTTTCTGGTGTAATCACAATCAACAAATAATATCTGCTTGTTCAACAAATCCTGAGTATCTACTATTTGTCAGACTCCAGCAGGGTGCTAAGGATAGGAAATAAAGATGAGTCCAATGGTCCATACCCAAACACTGCACTTTGGTTCACAGAAAAGTCTCCTAAGCTATGACACTGTCAGTTTGGGTGACAAGTGCTATGATAGAGATCTGTTTAATGTACTCTAGGCATGCAGAGGAGGAACAAGATTAATTATTTTCTGAATACTCACACAAAGCAGCTCAATAATTGTGTACTGAGTTGAGTAAAAGTCTCCCAGAAGAAGTGACATATATGTATGAGTCTTGAAGGCTAAGCAGATATATGCCAGGCAGGAAAAAAGGAAGATCATTCTAGGGAGCAAGAATGACCTAAACAAAGCAAGGGAGTAACAGGGAATAAAGTGGGGAATGGTGAGTAGAGCCTAAAATGAAGTAGCTGGAGAAGGATCCAGAAAGGTAGGTTGGGGTTAGTGTGTGAAGGGGGCCTTGAATGCCCATTCTTCTGTGGGCAATGGGGAACCATGGAAGATTTTCTGGCTGGGCAGTGGCGTGATCAGACCTGTGTTCTTTCTCCCAACCAGAAGAACAGCAGAAGCAAAGACAAGAACCAGTGCTGCCCCATCTGTAACATGACCTTTTCCTCCCCTGTCGTGGCCCAGTCGCACTACCTGGGGAAGACCCACGCAAAGAACTTAAAGCTGAAGCAGCAATCCACTAAGGTGGAAGGTACTGGTTTTCCTGAGTAGTGCTGTATCGGTACCCCTCCCATCCTCAGGGCACCAATGCCAATGTCCAGAATGCAATGCCTAGGGCCACAGACTTGGAGAGGTCGAACTTCTGAGAGTCCTTAAAAATACCAAAGTAGGCCCAGCTAGATTGAAATGCAGTCTCAGAGTTGTGCTCACCTAACTTCCCTTTCTTTGGTTCCATCGGTTTTTCTTTGTAGAAGTGTCTTAGCCCTGAGCTTTTGTCCTGATGAATAATTATAATCGAGAGTGTCAAAGTCCTCCAGGCCATGCATACCATGAGAGCATTCTATCTCTTACCTCTCCCACTTAGATTTTTCCCTCCCAGCATCCACCTGCCATTATTACCATGTGTTCCAAGTTGAAAGCTAAATCCTTGTCTTTTTTGTGTGCTCAGGTTATGCCCTGTTCTCTTTAATCCTCAAAGCTGCCTGTTCTCCTCAAGACAGGGACTTGCTTTTCAAAGCTGAATACTTGAGTGCTGCCACTACTGCCCAGCAAGCCATGTTTGCAACTGCCATGAATTCATTCCAGTGCGTTGACTTCTAAAATAGTCCCCTTTATCTTGTCACCACTGTTGCTCAACCCTCGCTTTCATCTCATTAACTCCTGACTTTCTGGGATTTTTAACCTCCACTAACTGCAGTTAGTCAAGAGTGAAAGTTCTTTGATTTTTATGTCTTTTTTTTTTTTTTTTTTTTTGTAATTTTTGCTTCTTTATCTTGGACCAGGAAGTAGACTGACTATACTATTTATAATACTTATTCTTTTTTATAATACTGTATCATGAAAACAAGACAACAATGTTTTAGAAGACTTTGAAGATAAGGTGAAAAATTACTCATAATTATACCCTCTTAACACACCCAAATCTGGTTATTCATGCTATGAAACAACAGAATATGGACTTTGAAGCCACAGACATGCAGGTTTAAATCCTGATGCTGCTATTTACTATCTATATGACTTAACTTCTTTGTGCCTAAGTTTCCTCACCTGTAAGATGTTAATAATACTATCTATAGGTTGTGAGGATGAAATGTATTTAAGGAATCTAAGACATAATAGATGCTTAGTAAATGACAGCTGCTATCATTAGTATTATCACTGTCATTAAGATAGCCCACAAGTGGAATCCCCTTATAAAATGAAGTCTTTGGTGAGGCATCTACCACCTGGAGCATGTCATTGGCCTTGCTTATGGTTTGTTCATCATTAAGTTATACTAGTACTAATTGCTTTTGTTTGAAGTCGGTGTTGGGGGGTGCCTGTCTGGCTCAGTCAGTGGAACATACAACTCTTGATCTTGTGGTCATGAGTTCGAGCCCCATGCTGTGTGTAGAGATTACTTCAAAAAAAATAATAAAGTCAGTGTTGGTACCATTCATGGTACCAAAAAGATTAAAACATTAGGCCAAGAGAAAATAGCTTAAGAACAAAAACTTTATAAGGTTATTTGTCTTTATATGGATTGATCTTTTCTATAAATGGGAAAATTCCCTGATATATGCCAGGTCCCAAAGATTCCATACTTAAGAGGTTATTTTCCGGATTCATTTTCAGCCTTTGCCACGTACAGATATGCTTTTATATGGTTGTAATCATAGTGCATGTACTGTTTGTATCCTGCTTTTACTTTTCATTGAATTTTGTAGTTTAAGCACATTTCTATGTTTTTACATGAGTTTATAACTATATTTATGAAGTTAAACATGTTTCTAATGTGAAAGTAATAGAAGCATGTTGTAGAAAATATGGAAAATACAGATATATGAAAAGAGAAAGTACGCCTAATTTTGCCATTCAGAGGTAACCACTGTTAATATTTTGGAGTATTGTTTTTCCTATAATCTTTTGTTATGTGTATGTGTGTATATCTGTGTGTATAGTTTTATGTATGTACAGATTAAATCCATATATACGTGCATATAAACATAGAATACTTTAAATAACCTTATATTTATAAAAATGATGCATACTCATTATGAATAATTCTAGCTGAAATGATGCAAAAAAGTACAAAGAAGAAAATAAAATATCCCCCAAATCCTACCACAGAGAAACACTGTTAATATATTAGTGACATTTCAAAATGCTACTACCCACATATGATTGTGCATATATCTTTTAACAATGGTAAGATCATATTGTGTGTAATTTTCTTTTATACTCTTTCTGTTTAATATAACATTTGTATTTCCCCATGTTATTAAAAACTTTTTCATAAACATTTTAATGACTTTATAATATCCTATCATAACACCATTCCTCTAATGTTGAACATTTTCCCCCTCCCCTTTTTTGATATTTATAAATAACAGTATAGCAAACATCCCTGTAGAAAACTCTTTCCATATTTCAAGCTATTTCCTGAGAGAAGACTCCCATAGTTATTTTTTGGATGTCCGTGAAGCGGTTCCTCCAACTTAACCATTCACTTCTGATGCTTCAGTATCTTTTAAAGAATGGCCTTTTATGTCTTTTTTTTTTTTTTTTGCCTTTTATGTTTTAACGACCATTATTATCTCTTTTCTGATGTCAGAAGTCTATATTCATTATAGAAAAGTTGGATATTACTGAAAAGCACCCTTTTACTCTATGCTTTTGGCCTTTTTTCCATGCATCACCAGTATGTTTTTTCATTTGTTTTACAAAATTGAGGACATAAGAAACAGATTTCTGTATAACCTGCTTTCTTTTTAATGTAACACCACATATTGAATGTTTTCTCATATTATCAAATATTCTACAACATGTGCATTACTTTTCAAGCAACTTGCTGAGCAAGCATCTGAGCCATCTGTCTGAGTGCTGCTGAACCCCACTCCTCTTCCACCATTGGTGGGGGGTCTAGGCCACATTTTTAAAACAGTGGTTACTGGGTTGACACCATTCTAGCCACATGGACTCATTCGTGAGTCTTGGCATCCACTTTATAAAGCAGCTGTGTGGCCTGCCAGGAGTATCAGGACATTTGTTGACCCACAGGGGACTCATAACATACTCTGATTACCTGAATTCATTGACCAGAACCAAGGATGTTTTCTGAAAGTAAAAGCATGGACTATAGCCCTCCCTCAGGTTTCCCTATCACACTCTGGCAGCCTGGCATAGCGAAGAGGGCATAGTCTTTAGGGTCATGCAGATGGATTCACTCACTACCAGGGTAATCTTGGGCAAGTCACTTTACCCATCTGAGCCTTGATTTTTCTCTATAATGTGGTAAGATGATATTTATCTCATGGGGTAGTTCTGAGGACCAAAGGAGGAAATATATGTACAAAGCATGTAACTTAACGTCAGTATCCTCCTCTCTTTCTCCTACTCAGCCTAGAAGACAGTGTAACCCAAAAGGCCTCCTCGTACGGTTACCTTTTCTAAATGACCCTCCCAATCCTCAGGCTCTCAATTACTACATCTGTGCATTGGCTCCCAGTTTTTTGTCCCACTTGCTGTGAAGCTCTGGGGAATTCTGAGGGATAAAAGAACTAGAAACATGTACATTTCTAGACTGTTATAATTTGACAACTGGATAGCAGAAGTGCAGAACCTCCTCAGAATATGAGGAAATCAGGATTCATATGCCCAAAGTAGTGAAAACTGCTGACCAAAGTAGCTGGTCTTTGAGCTCTCCCAAATCTTGCCAGTTTTCCCAATTAGATAAGACTTTCACTGTGTGATTCACACAGGCAGTGCTACATCTGCAAGTGTGACTAGTGACCCAGCCTTTCTTTCCATTCAGCATACTCGAAAGCTTGGCACCTTCTGGGTCTTTTTTCATTGTTTCTGTTTGAACTCTCTCACCGCAGCTCTGTCGAAACGCCTTACAAACCCTTTCCTTGTGGCCTCCACCTTAGCCTTGCACCAGAATAGAGAAATGATAGACCCAGACAAGTTCTGCAGCCTCTGCCATGCGACTTTCAACGACCCTGTCATGGCTCAACAACATTATGTGGGCAAGAAACACAGGAAACAGGAAACCAAGCTCAAACTCATGGCACACTATGGGCGGCTGGCCGACCCTGCTGTCACTGACTCATCAGGTAAGGGGGCCCAGCTCACACCGAGAGCTGGATCAGGGCTTGAGGACTAGAGTTCTCCAGACTACCGATGCTGTCTTTTCCTCCTTACATCTCCCCTCGCAGGCATTGCACCCTCAAATGCCTGCAGAAACCAGATAGGAAATAAAAATAAGTAAATGAGCATGACCAGCTGAAGAGTGCATGCCTCTCCTAGCCAGCTCCAGTTAGTTATTACCAGATCTTTCAGTTTTTCAAGGAATCTAGAAAGTCAGATTTGTTTAAGAATTCCCCTCATTTTTGAGGCACCTGAATGGCTCAGTCAGTTAAGTGTCTGACTTTGGCTCAGGCTATGATCTCATAGTTATTGAGTTCAAGCCCCACGTTGGGCTCTGTGCTAACAGAGCCTAGAGCCTGCTTCAGAATCTGTGTCTCTCTGTCTCTCTCTTTGCCCCTCCTCTACTTACATTCTGTCTGTCTGTCTCTCTCTCAAAAATAAATAAACATTAACAAAATTTTTGAAAAAAAAGAATTTCCCTAATTTTTAGGGGGCCTGGCTGGCTCAGTCGGTAGAGTATGCAACTCTTGGTCTCAGGGCTGTGAGTTGAAATCCCATGTCGGATGTAGAGATTACTTAAAAATAATCTTAAAAAAAAAAAATAGAATTCCTCTCCATTTTAAATGTGTTACTAAATTTAAAAAATGTTAAACCGTGTATGAGCCAAATCTGTCTGCAAGCCAGATTTGGGCCAAGGGCCACCAGTTTGCAACCTCTGATTTAAGCTCCCTGTCATCCATATTCCTTGTGTGAAGGCCCTCAGCAGCCTCTGCCAGATATTAGAGTGTCCTCAGGGCCCCTCACTTCTCAACAGTTGAGGCCTGCCCATACCCCACTCTGACTCAGAGAATATTAGCTTTTACCCTGACTTCTAGATGCCAGTCAACATCACAGGAGTAAGTATTCATGAAGAGTTAAGAGCCCTTCCCATCACATTAACTTCTCAGGGCTTATAATAAGAGTGTAGGAGGGGAGATTATTATTTTCTCTTTCATTCAGTCAGTAAATATTTATTGAGTACCTACTGTGTACCCTCTTTGGGGTACAGTGGTGACCAAGACTGACACAGTACCTGTCTCATGGAGCCTACATTCGTATGAGTCCTCAGGGTTTCCACTCAGGCCATGGAGATGCAGCACCAGTCAACATTTGAGGTCCCCATGGCATCCAAGTACAAACAACTTGGCCTCAGGGAACCTGCTACTTGGAGTCATCTGTGCTCTTGCCACAGTCTTAGAAAGGTGAACACCCAGATACTGTAGATGTTCCAGACCACATATGGGCAAGGGAGATCATGCCTCTCTATCAATCCCCAAACCCAAAGCAGCCTTACAACACAGGTTGTCCTTGAGCAATACTGACACAGATGAGATGGGTGCAAAATAGTGGCTATGAAATAAGGGAAGGTCCCTTTAGCAGGGTGCCAAGGAGTGCTCTTCCAATGCCACTGAAGGACCCTGCTTTATAAACCTCTTCAAAATTAAGTGCTTGGTGTTCCCATATGCAGGCAGTGCCTTCCTCTTTAACAGGATCGGCCCCATATGCTGAGAAATACGGGAACTTCAGAACCAAGCTCCTCAGAACCCTCTGTGACACCCTGCTATTTTGGCCTGAGACTGATAGGGACAACACAGTATCCAGCTGGCACGACCCAGGGTTCTCTTGCAGCTGACTCTTCTTTGCTCCAGCTCTTGGCCATCTTTATTTGGCCCTGCTCTGGTCATATCCTCATTCTCTCTTGTCCACTAGCAGGACTCAGGCACTGCCATGTTTAATTTTTTTTTTTTTAATGTTTATTTATTTTTGAGAGAGAGAGAGAGAGCATGAGTGCGTGAGGGGCAGAGAGAGAGGAGGACAAAGAATCTGAAGCAGGCTCCAGGCTCCATGCTGTCAGCACAGAGTCCAATGAGGGGCTCAAACCCACCAACTGCGAGATCATGACCTAAGCTGAAGTCCAAAGCTTAACCGACTGAGCCACCCAGGCCCCTCCCCTTTTTTTTAATGTTTGGCACTGCCATATTTTAGGCTGCTTGTCTTAACTTGTACCCGTTCTATTCTTTTTATTTTTTAAGTTTATTTATTTTGAGAGAAAGAAAGTATGAGTGGGAAAGGGGCAGAGAGAAAGGGAGAGAGACAATCCCAAGCAGGCCCTGCACTGTCAGCATGGAGCCCAATGCGAGGCTTGAACCCACGAACCGGATCATGACCTGAGCGGAAGTCTGATGCAAGTCAGATGCTTAACCGACTGAGCCACCCAGGCACTCCCCCATTCTATACTTTTATCTCAAGCCAAAGTCTCCTTCCTATATCTACTCCTCCCTTTGCCTAAGGCTGATTACCAAACTTAATCCTAGAACTGTATCCTGGATGCTTTTTCTTGCTTAAGGCATCTGACTGCTTTACAGATCAGCCACAATTTTTCATGAAAACCTAGGCAGGGGCAGGGGCATCACATGCCTTTTGATATTAATATATACATTATAATTTAATTCCCACAGCATTCCTAAAAATAGGTATGATTTTCGCATTTTACAGATAAAGAAGTTGAGACTCAGAGTGACTTGCTCAAGGTCATAGAGCTGATAGGACCTGATGTTGATAAGTGAGAACATCAATATGTGTCTCTAGCTCTGTCTGGCTCCAAAACTTACTTACTTCCTCCTGCCTCCAGCTCTGAGTGTACTTGGCAGGAGGCTTTCCAACTGTAGGACATCAGAGGCATTGAACTCATTTTGACCCCCTTCTTACCCACAGAGGTGGAATGTTGACCTAGGATATGCAGGCAGTGACTTCAGCTAACAGGGATTCCACCTTAGCAAAGGTTTTAGGTTTGTTAGCAGCTTGACTTTTCCCTGCTGGCCTCTGTTGAAGCTTGTTCATTCATTCAGTCAGTCAGTCATCCTTTACTTACCTGTGGCTGTTACAGTCCAGACCTTAGGCTAGGTACTCTCACATGTAATTGCCGGATTTAATCCTCACAGCAGCTCTGCTGTGCAAGTTTGATTGTCCCCATTTTACAAATGAGGTCATTAGGATCAGAAAGATGAGGTGATTTTTCCTGGGTCCCACACTAGGCAGCACCTGAGCCACATTGAAATTTGGGTTAAATTCTATAGTGGGTCCAGAGAATAGTTTCCATGGGGCTCCTGTCAGAGTGTCTCATGACAAGTATGGGTCAAATGTGAGATGATCCAGAGTGTCCAGATCTCTTCCCCAAGGGGAAGATGCAGCGTCTACCAAGCAGATCAAAGACTTGAAATTTGCTTTATATTCCTGGCTCACATTTCTCTCATTTATCCAAGAATGCTAAAACTAAAGCCTGCATATCATTCAGGCAGCCAAATCCTTCCAACTGTCAGAGCATTCAACACTCACCCCAGGTTACTGGAATCCTCCTCTGCTTTACCCCATCACTTTCTTTCCCTGCTTAGGGCCTTGCCTCCTACATAGAACAGGGCTGCTTTCTCTGCCCCATGCTGATCCCCGAGTCTCTTCAACTATGCTTAGGACAGGTTTTCAGGTCTTGTTAAGTTCGTATATAGTCAAAGAGTGCCTGAGAGGCTCAGTCAGTATCCAACTCTTGATTTCAGTTCAGGTCATGATCCCAGGGTCATGGGATCAAGCCCTGTGTTGGAGCATGGAGCCTGCTTAAGATTCTCTCTCTCTCTCTCTCTCTCTCTCTCTCTTTCTCTCTCTTTCTCTCTCTTTCTCTCTCTTTCTCTCTATCTTTCTCTCTCTCTCCCTTTCTGTCTCTCTCTCCCTCTCCCTTTCTCCCTTTCTCCCTCTCTCCCTCTCTCCCTCTTCACCTCTCCCTCTGCCCCCCTCCCCCACTCAGGCACGCACTCACTCACGCGCACTCTCTCTCTCAAAACAAAAAATCATATATAGTCAAGAAATATTTGCTAAGTGCTTTCCTAATATTTGCCAGGCATTGTATATATGATAGTAAACAAGACAGGTGTTGTCCATGTTCTCGTGAAGCTTAGAGTTTAGTAGAAAAGACAGGCATTGAGCAAATAACTGCAAGTGTGACAAGCTTTAGAAAAGGAAACAAATGGGGCACATGGCTGACTCAGTTGGCAGAGCACACAGTTCTTGATCTCAGGGTTGTAAGTTCAAGCCCCATGTTAGGTGTAGAAATTACTTAAAAATAAAATAAAAAAAAAAAAAAAAGGAAAGGAAACGAATGGGACAACTTAAATTGGAACAGGGATCAGTGAAGGTTTCCCAGAGTGAAAGGAGGATAATGTGGGGCAAAACGATCCTGGGGAGATGACGGAGCATCCAGTCCTGGTATTGTTGGTCATGTTAGGGATTTGGGCCTTAACCTAAAAGCATTGGGAAGCCAATGACAATTTAAGCATTATTAGATCATTCTGCTTGCAAAGTGGAGAATGGTTTGGAAAAGGGAGGAAGAGGAGTGGGGAGACCCCAGCAATGACGGTATTGTAGTAATTCATACTAGAGAGGATGGGAGCTTGGACTAAGTAAGGTAGCAGTGGAGGAGATAGACAGAAGTAGATGGATTCAAGAGCTATGTAGGAAGTGGAATTGTCAGGATTTAGGGGCGTCTGGGTGGCTCAGTTAAACATCCAACTCTTGATTTCAGCTCGGATCATGATGTCACAGTTTGTAAGATTGAGCCCTACATCCAGCTCCGTGCTGTCAGTGTGGAGCCTGCTGGGGATTCTCTCTCCCCCTCTCTCTCTCTGCACCCTTGCTCACACTCTCCCTCTCTCACTCAAAATAAATCAATGAACTTAAAAAAGAAAAAAGAATTATCTGGATTTGGCCATCAAATGTGGGAAGTGAGGGGGGCCTGGCTGGGTCAGCCTTCAGAGCGTGCAATTCTTGATCTCGGAATTGTGAGTTCAAGCCCTACATTGGGTGTAGAGATGACATAAAAATAAGATCTTTACAAAAAAAAAAACAAAAAAAACAAAAAAACAAAATGTGGGAGGTGAAGGAGAGGGAATAGTCGAAGATGATAACCAGATTTAGTCTTAAGCAATTAGGTGGATAGCCAGGTTTTGTCAGCTTGGAGTTAAGATGCCCATGAGATATCCAAGTAGGCAGTTGGATATATAGGTCTAGAACTCAAATGAGAGGTCTGGGTTAGAGATACTGCCATTTTGGTAGGTCAGTAATTGTTAAATATTAGTGGTTTCATATATTTTAGGTGGTAATGAAAGTCAGCAGAATGAATGAAACCCCTAGAGAGTTTAGAAAGAGAAGAGCTGAGGGTCTAAGATTAAGCCTTCTGCAAATGCTGGCCATAAATGTCTAAAATGGACCTGAATTCTGATTGCAGTAATATTCCCCTTAAATGCTCTAAAGGGGTGTGTCTTCCAGGAAATACCTGAAGATACAAAGGAACATCGGCTAGCTAATTGGAGTAGAGGAGATCATTGGTGTTCTCAGCTACAGCTGCCATAGAAGGCTGGTTAAAAGATACTCTCCACCTCTTTGCCAGACTGATGCATGGAGCCCATAAGAGTGAAAAAATACTAGTAATAAGAGCTCACATTTGTTGAGCACTTACTATGTGTCAAATGCTTTTATTTAAATCATTCAGTAACTTTATGAGGTTGATACTAATATTAACCTCATTTTATAGGTAAGGAACCTGAGTCTCAGAGAAGCCCCACTTTTACAAATGAGGAAACCAAATCTCAGAGAGGTTAAGTAACTGGCCTGTGGTCCTACAGGTAAGAAATGATAGAGCTGGGATTTGAGCCTAGGTGATCTCACTCCAGAGCTGTGAAACTTTAGGGTGGCAGATGGTTAGAAGAGTGTCAGAACCAGAGGGCTCTTGAAGTCATGTGTACAGCTGCCTTTCTTGTACAGCTAACATCTGTCACGCTAGAATAAGTACAGCCTTTGTGGTCAGCCAAGCCTGAGTTTGCCACTTACTAACACTGTGTTCTTAGACATGTGACTTTGCCTTATTTTCCTTTATAAAATAATGATAATGATTTTCCCAGGAAAATCATTATGAGGGCCAAGCAAAATTATATAGCGTGCATGGCCTATATCAGGTACTTAGTTAATGATACTGGCTTTTATTATAAGTATTATGGTTATAAGTTATGGTATAATTGACTTACAGTTGAGAAAAGCTGAGGATCAGAAAGGGGAAGGGGTTTAGTCAAGATCACATGAAGGCAGAGCCAGGAGTCCAGCTCCATATCTTGGCCATGTGGACAAAGGCCACTTTGTCATTGGATCAGCCCTGGTAGTAAGAGTGTCTGTGAGCCCCAAGATAGGAAGACTAGGTTAATTTTCATAGCAGGCATTCTCATTAATTACTGTTATTGCAAGCCTAGGGAGAGTGGCAGTTTCCCAGAGATCTCTCAGTGAAGGGCATCCTTAATGAGGCCACTTAGCACAGTCCAGGTAAAAAGATACACCAAATGTCACCTCTTTGTTCTGTCAATCTTTTATTTACTCAACAGACAGCTACTGTAGACCAGGTTCGATTCTGGGACTTGGGGGTACAGAGGGGAGTGAGGAGGTTCCCAACCCCAGAAAGCACATAGGCACACAGCCAGTGTCCCCTGAGCATTGAGGCCTCTGGGATTCTCATCAGGGCCAACCACCTAATCTCACCCCACCATCCATCCTCAGAAGGGCATTTACTGTCAAAAGCAGCAGTCCCCAGGTCCCTTGTTCCTGGATAACTAAGTATCTTGACTTTTATGTGTGTTTCAGCTGGGAAGGGTTACCCCTGCAAGACGTGTAAGATAGTGCTGAACTCCATAGAACAGTATCAAGCTCATGTCAGCGGCTTCAAACACAAGAACCAGTGAGTAATCTTCCTTTGAAATTCAAGGGTCTGCTACAAGAACTCAAGGCTTCTAAATCAAAACAAAGCCAGGTACTACTTTGCTAAAATGGAATCCTGGCAGCCTTTTCTCAGTCAACATAAAATCAATCAGTTAACAAAAGTGTCTCCTCTGTAAGTTTTTCCTCCCATCAGCTTCTCCACAGCCTTTGGACCTGCCACTGAAGGTTTGAGTAGAGAAACTTAAGACACTTTCCTTGGCGGTCTCCTAAAAGTACTTAGATTTCCTGCCCTATAGCAATCTGACTAGGGAAGTTTCCCTTCCCTCAAGCCTGTCACTGGCCTAAGAACCTAGTCTCTACTGCCATCAGTTCTATGGCAAAAGCTCCCTCTCCAGGTTATTACCAAATATGACCAGATTTGTTCATTCATTGATCAAGTATTTATTGAACACCCTCTGGGTGGTGGCCAAAACAGATCCAGTCCCTGCTCTTGTGACCTTACGTTCTGATGGGAGGAGACAAACAATAAACGAGTAAACAACCAATAATTACAAATTCTGATAAGTGCTTTGAAGGGAAGAGGTAAACACAGTCATCTGTTCATGATAACCTTGAAAATGACTAACACTCTTTGAACCCCTGTTCTGTTGCAGGGCATATGCCAAGCAAATCCTCTCAGGTAATCCACACAACAACCCTAGGAAGAAGGTATTATTATTATAGACAGAGGCAACCACCATTCAAGTGATACTATGAGACAGAGCCTATAATTCGAACTGAGTCTTGTCTGGCTCACAGCATGCTTTTCTAGGGCATCATGCTAACAAGGAGGTTATGGCACCGTGTGATATGAGGAGGCTAGGGCCTGGTAAGGGGAGGGCTTATGCAGTTCTGTCTCTTCCTCTCAGAAGGGAACTGGGTAGTGTGGACAGTGTGATACAACATAACTTTCTGAGATGAGAATATACTCATTTTATAGATAAGGAAATTGAGTTTCAGGCAACCAAGTCTAATAAACTGATTTCTTTGACTTAAATGGTAGGTTCTGCATTGTTCACAGAGCTGAATTAACTAAAGGTGGTGGAAACACAAAATATTAGTCAAAATGTCCTTGGTCCTCTCCACTCTGACTGAAGTTTTCCCTTCCACATTGCAGCAGATCTGAGGACTTTTGAGGCTTCTTTTAGATATGGACTTGAGACAAGCCTGCACAGTCCAGCCTGGGGCTCACCCCCATTTCAGCACATCTCCCTTGCAGCTTGACTGGTGGCAGTTTCAGCATACAACCTGGAGACAACCAGAGCCCTACCCTGGGGGTGCCCAGTCTTGAAAATGCTAGTATTTACTCTTTTCTTTCTATATTTTCAGCTATGTGACTTTGGGTGAGTCAGTAAACTTCTCTGAGCCTCCACTTCCTCTTCTGTAAGATTATAGCTACTATTTGTTGAACACCTAAGTTAATTTCATTTAATTCACAGTAGCAGCTCTGAATTAAGACACACACACACACACCCCCCTTTACGACCTGAGGAAACCCAATGTCAGGTAGGTTAAGTAACTTGCCCAAGCCACTTAGTTACTTGGAGTTAGACCCAGAATTCAAACCTTTTGATTCCAAAGTACATTTATTTTGCTCTGCCATTGCATATGGGGCTCATTATCCTCACCTTATGGGATGACCTGAGAGTTAGAGATAAAGTATGTGAAATGCTGGTACCAGAAAAGGGAACTATTAGAGGTAAGCTTTCATTCATTCAACAAATATTTATTGAGTACCTACTATGTGCCAGGTCCTATATGGAACACTAGGGCTACAGTAGGAACCAGGATCAATGCTGTTCCCTGAGTTTTTTGGATCCCCATCTAGTGGTAGAAGCAGATCCTAAACAAATCCATAAACAAATAAGACAATATCAGTTATTACTAGGTACGCAGAAAGTGGGATAGAGTGACTGGAGAGCCACTTTTGACTCAGTGTGAAGGAAAGAATGATCAGTCTGTACTATCCAGGTCATATAGGGCCCTATAGGCAGAATAAATGGTTTGGTAGTGGAGAGATGTGGGCTGCTGTCCTGAACCTGCCACACTTTTAAAAAGCTTAAGGATGGAGGGATGGTCAACAACAACAACAACATAATTATTTAATTTTCAAAATTAAAAAAAAAAAAACAGAAAACAACAATAAAAAGCCTACTGGGGTCAGGTGACTTAGACTTTCTGAACTTTAGTTTCCTTATATACAAAACAGGGGTACTATCCCCGCCTTGTAGAATTGCCATGAAGATTAAATAGGATGCTAGAAGCAAAGCACCCAGCATTGTGCCTAGCATGCAGTGACCCTCAGTAAAGGAGACCTGGTCACCTTATTACTCCAAGGCCTTGGAAGAGCTGTACTATCTTTAGAAAATTACCTGGAGCACCATCATAACCACCACAAACTGACCCTGTGTGTTTATTCCTTCTCAAACTACAGGTCACCAAAAACAATGGCATCACCCCTGGGCCAGATTCCAATGCAAAGGCAGCCCATTCAGAAAGACTCAGCCACCTTGGAAGACTAGAGGTGTTTCTGTCCAGCACCCCAGGTTGAACCAGCCGTGAGCCAGCTTCCCGTGACCATGGTCAGCCCTTGGCTCCCTCTTCCTCCTTTCTTATACCTGGAGAACACATAGGCCTTAGGCAGGAGTGGGCCACAGATAGCCTCTGATTGGTCCAGGCTAATCCACTCCTGCTCTTCCCCTTTGGAATGGGCCCTCTAGGTCAGGACAAGGGAAGGGGGTGGATCTTGAAAGGACTTGGGGCCTCACAGAATAGTAGTTTGGAGGATGGCCTTTCCCCTTCCCCAGCCTCTTTGGGCCATATGTCATGAGCCCCAGGCCTGTCTTTCCTTTGCAGGTCAGTTTTGAACCAGTCTCTGCGGCTAAAGAACTGAGCTGTCCCTGGGCTCCAGGTAGCTCCAGTGAAACCTGGAGCTTTCACACCAGAGTTCTGCCTAGGTAGGAAAGGGCAGATGGAAGTGGCTGCCCTATGGGAGCTTGGAGCTAACATGACACACTCCCTTTCCCCAAAAAGTGCAGGCTTTCCTGAGCCTGAGACCAGATGCTGGCCAGTTACACAGTTTTCTGCCCACTGTGAAGTCTCCTCCTGGAGCAATGACACAGTCCTGGCAGAGCAGTGCTGTCCTTCTGCCTCTTCTCCACAGTTCCTGAATGGTGCTAAGGATATGCATCAGCTGGGGAAAAGCTAGAGCTGGAGGAGGCCTCGGTATCCGGTGGGATTATGAAAGCTCTAAGAGGGGGGCCTTTTCCCCTCCCCCATCAGAGAGGTGCTCTGACCCAGGGTCATGTGGGAAAGCCCCCACATGCAGGTTTTCTTGATGATTCTGTGCCCTTAAAAGGTGAACTATCTCATGCCAGCCAGCTCAAAGGTCCATGCTGCTCCTTGGCTCTACTAGCCCTCTCCTCCTCATGTAGGAGACCACCTGTCCAGGTTGCTGTGGTGCTAGCCCTCTTCCATTATCCACCAGGAGATTCCTGGGTACCAGGGAAAGAAAGGAGAGCCAGTGCAGGTTTCTGCAGTGAGGAAACAGGTGTTCCCCAGGCCCCAAACCTAGATATCTCCAACTCTGCTGTCTTTTACGGCCTGGGATTTCACTGGGAGTGGATATTTCCTTGTAGTTTTCAAGCGGGAATTCCAAGGAGTGTCACCATCATAGGCCCCCCTTCATTGAGTCAAAGAAGCCCCTAGCTGCTGTCGTGGCCTCTCCCCCCCACCCCCACCCCCGCCCCATTGCCTATCCCTTTGCCTGTGAAATGCCTTTATGTATTGTGTATGGGTGTGTGTGTGCGCGTGCTTATGCTCTGTCTCTTGGTCACTGAAGCATCTAAATAAAGAATTTCTCCCATGAGCCAGACTGCAACTTAACAAACCTGGGATTTGGGGCCATATTACCGTTGGATTAGTATGTGTGTCTTGACCCCTCACCCTCAACCCTCTCATACTCCCAGGGCTCTAAACACTGATCTAAGAAGGTGGGACAAAGATAAACTTTTAATTATTTGGTAACCTGTGGGAGACTTCCCAGGTGCCCTAAACTTAATACAACGTCATCCACTTATCCATCTCCCCCTGTCACAGAGGGTCTGATGGAGGTCGTTAGAAGGTTTAAGATGAGAATCTACTTTGTTTGAGAGGATCATTTGGCTGTTAGGTGGAGAAGGAATGCAGGGGAGCAGGATAAGAGATAGATAAGGAAGCCAAAATGGAGGTTGTGTCCAGTCTGGCTCTCTCCAGGCTAATGCCTTCAGGACAGAGACCTAACCTTTTTCATCTCAACTTCTGTAATGTGGAGTGGTGTGTCATGAAGTGTTTGTTGAATGAATGAATGAGTATGAGGAAAGATGGCCTTTTCCCTCACAGCTCTTACTCAGCACTAGGTTTGTTCCATGGACTTACAGGCCTGGAGATTCTTGCAGGAAGCTTTTCTATGACCCAGAAATGAGCTAGGGAAGGAGTGAGTGTGATGGCCTCAGGAGCCTTTTGTCAACCTTAGTTTCAGACAGCCAGACCTGAGGAAGGTTCCCAGGCAGCCTCAGCTCCCATTCTTCACTCAGCAAGCCTTTCTTGGGTACCTGCTCTTGACCAGCTGGGAAAGGCCCTATGTGGCCCCCATGGTGGGTTCTCAGCTCTCAGCTTCCAAAGCCCAGACTGTCTCAGCAATTTCCCTGCAATCCTTCTAATTTATCCAGGATGTCCGAATCAGCCTCATCTATCACGCAAGGAAATGAAGGGCAGAAGGGTGGGTGGGCTGCTGTATCATGAACCTTGGCCTGCAAGACCTTAGTCTGGATTCAGGAGTCCCTGTTAGCCGCGTGCCCAGCCCTTTCGGCAAGAGGGCACAGGGATGAACACTTTCTTGCTCTTGGGAAGCTCACATACTTGTTAAAGATCATTATGGCAGTGGTCAGAGGGTCCTACAGAGCCCAGCAAGAATGCCCAGGATAAAGGTCTTAACTCACCTCAGGGTATGAAAAAGCTGGAAAAGTTGGGAAACTTGCATTTGATCTGCATAACAGCCTTTTGAGCTAGGTAATGATACTCCATTTTATAGAAAAGGGTCAAAGTGATGTACTATTTTATCCAAGGTCCTGGCACTAAGAAGCAACAAAATGGAGAGTAGAATCCAGTTCTCTAGATTCCTCGTCCAGTACCCTTTCCAAAAAGGACCAGAATCCTTCTGATATAACCCCTGGGCCTGCCTCACCTACCATCTGACAGGGCCATGGGCTCATAGAGCAAGCAGCCACAAAACAGATTGGACAAGGGTCAGTGGTTATTTTTTATTCCAAGCTCCCCCATATTTCTCATAATTTTACCCAAGATTCCCAGTTTATTAGACTCAAGTTTATAACTGTAAGAAACTGATGGGATGCCTGAGTGGCTCAGTTGGCTAAGTGTCCGACTTCGGCTTAGGTCGTGATCTCACAGTTCGTGAGTTCGAGCCCCAAGTCCAGCTCTGTGCTGACAGCTCAGAACCTGGAGCCCGCTTCGGATTCTGTGTCTCTCTCTCTTTCTGCCCATCCCCTGCTCGTACTCTGTCTCTCTCTCAAAAATAAACATTAAAATATACTGAAATCAAAGTGGTTAGCTAAAAAAGGAAATTTATTGATTCACCTAATGAAAAATTTCAGTACAGGGATGGCTAGATCCAGGTTCTGACACACTGTCATCAGGAAGAATTTAATTTCACTCTGCTTTCCTCTGTGTGGCCTCTTTCTCAGGCCAACTCTCTCCAGAAGGTAGCAAGATGGCCACTGGCAGCTCCAGGCTTGTCTCCTGATGGAGAGGCAACTACATTGGAAAGATCATCTTTTCCTACTAGTTCCAACAAAAAAATTCTGGGATTCATTCATTAACCAGCTTGGCCCTGTTCCAGTTCTTAAACCAATCACTGCGACTAGGCCCCTGATTTGGGGACTGAGAAAGAGTGAGCTACACCTAAAACACATTGACTGAAACAGAAAAGAGGAAAGTATGGGGCTCCTTTCAGACTAAGGGAGAAGAATGGATGTGGGTAGGCAAAAATAACTTGTCAGCCATACCCAGAAGTTGTCTGTATTTGAAATATCACTTTTTCCCTTTTTGAGATATATTTAGTAACGTGCTCCAGTTTTTAGAGCACAATTTGATGAATCCTTACATGTATGTGTACATCTGGGTGGTCACCCTCCAGATCAAGATACAGAACATTGCCAGCTCCCCAGAAGTTTCCTTTGTTTCCCTTCCTAGTTATTATCTCCCAGAAGTAAACACTATTTTCACCTCTATCCCCCTAGATTAGTTTTGCTTGCTCTTGAATTCTATAAAAATGGAATCACATCCTCTTTTGCTCAATACTATGTCTGTGAGATTCATCCATGTTTGTGTGTGTATGTGTGTCAGAAGTTTTTTTTTTTTTTTTTTCATGCTCTGTAGTAGTAGTCCTTTATATGAATACACCACAATTTAGCCATTCTGTTGATGGACAGTTGGGTTATTTCTAGTTTTGAACTATTATAAATAAAGCTCTTCTGAAAAATTTTGTATGTGTCATTTGGTGTGCATGTGCACACATATATCCAGGAGTAGAATCACTGCATTATAGGATAGGTGTATGTTTAATTTGTCTAGATACTACCAAATGGTTTTCCACAGTGGTTCTACCAACTTACCAGCATTTGGTGTTGTCAGTCTTTCTAATTTTGGACATTCTGGTGGCACATGGGAATTTGAACCCAAGGGTTCATATTGACTTCATATCAGAGCTCCTCTTACTCTAAGCATTCCTGAGATCAGGTTTGAATTTCTCTAGCCTGGAATGGTCTCTGATGTCAGTGCCCAGGACCCACAATACACAATCCAGCAGGTAAACATCAGAGGGAGCTCCTGCTCATGGCTCTGGTGGCTAAGGAAGGTCTCATGACGGGAGAGGCAGTCTAGTGTACAGCAAAAAAAAAAAACAGGCTCTGGAACCAGGCAGCTGCAGTTCAGATCTTAGCTCTGTGGGGCTGTGTGATCTTGATGAGCTAACCTGTACTTAAGGGTGAAACACTAGTACCTACCGTATGGGTTATTGTGGGAATGAAAAGAATAGATACATATGAAACAATTACAGTACCTGACATATGGTAGATACTATGTAAATGATGACTGCTGCTCCTTCTATTATTGGCCTGAAGTAATCTCTGGGTCTTCCTGGGGAGGTGAGCCTGGAGGCAGATGGCATCTGGCACAGAGTCCTGTATTAAGTCTCAATGAGTTATGAAATGCCAGAAACCTAATTCAATCTGATGAGAGGAGGGGGGCAACGTGCTGGCCAGAGGTGGTTCTTCCCTGGGTTCCAGCAAGAAGCCACCTTTCACTGCTAGGGAACCTCATCTTATCCCAGGAACCTCAGGGGCACCTCAGGTTCTGCAGCCAATGACACCTGAGGAGAATTATGCATGTAAAGCTCTTAGCCCTGAGCTGGATGAAAAGCAGGTGTTGGGATGTAATAACCCGTAAGTGCAGACATAGAGCTATGTATGTAGACATACAGCAACCATGAAGTGTGTCACAGGGGACACTACTCTGGGATTCAGGGTTCTTGGGTGTTGGTCTTGCACCCTGTCACCAGCTTCATGTGACCTGAAGCCTCCTATTTTCTGTCTGGCTCAGAAGTTGTAAGAAATCACAGTTTGAGCCCAAGTACTACAGAGGCAGTGATGGGCAGCTAGGGGTTCTTCCCAAAGCAGGTAACAAAGAAACCCTTCACCAAAGCCTCTACCAGATGAGCTGTTCCCATCCCTATCCAGACCTGATCAGCCGTCATTAGTGTCAAATAGAATAGGAAAAAACAATTTCTACTTCTGACCATTTGTCCACCTAACAACCTCACCTACTCTGCCCCATGCAAGTCCACATTACAGAAAGGGCAGGCATATCCCTCTTCTGGCACTCGCAGGCTCACTGTCCTCCACAAATTCTGCTTCATCTGTCCAGGGGCTCACAAGAAACCTTAGAGGGTTCTGTAAATGGGTCAATGCTACAGCGCGGTGACCCTGATGGCCACTAGGTGGAGAACGCTCCTTTTTTTTTTTTTTTTTTTTTTTTTTTTTTTTTTTTTTACTGGGCAAAGTAGACCTGCGCCAGGACCTTACTATTTGAATACTGAAGAGAATAGGATGACTTCTGAGCTCCTGTATTTGGTATTTCATTTAGCCCTCAAGACAACCTGAAAAAGGCTTGATTTCACAGCAGAAATTCAGAGGTGAAACCTTGCAGAGCTTACACAACCAAGAAGTAATCATGGAGGGATTTGACCCCTGTGTTCCCAAGTCTTTGTTAGCACACCTCTACTTCCAAAGGCCATCTTGCCCTTCCCTCAGAACATTTCCTTCCAGAGGACACTGTTTGAAGACTGTAATTTAGTCAGCTGCTTGGGAGTACACCTGATGTTGGCCCTACTCATCAGCCTTTCTTTCACTCTTTTACCTTGGGTAACATCTCTCTTCCATTCTTCTATCCTGTGGTTCTGAGAGACTGACCCCAGTCCCTAGTTCCAGGGATGAACTTGTGACCCAAGCCTGGGCAATCAGAATAATTCTGGAGCTGTTAGTAGTCATCTTTGCCACTACATAAAGACAATCTGTGTGAAAATTAAATCACAGGAGAAAACAGCTGAGAGTTGGGAAGAGACTGGTTTCTGATGAACACCTAGATCTAACGAGGCCCGAAGCTAATACTCTCAGGACTTTTTAGTTACCAGTCAATACTCTTTCTCTTTAAGTCAACTTAAGTTGGATTTCTATCATAACCAGGAGTACTGTTTCCCCCCACCCCAGGAGTACTAATACATGTTTCAGCTTCTTCATCAACCCAGTGACCTCC